ACAGAAGAATTAATTAATTTCGTATATTAAAAGAATAGGTAAATCCTGATAAAAGTGATATTTATTACAGTATTATGAATAAGCTCGAACTTATTACAAGTTTTGGCTATCAATTTATCAAGAACGTACCCACCCCAAATGATAAAAATCAATTAACAAGAGTAGGTGTATTCTTGATAGGAGTGTCCGAAATTGATATGTAATACAGTATACAATCTATAGGCCAAAGCTCATTACGATCGACAACCCCAAACAAGCTGCAAAAACAGAATATATTCGGACCTTTTTCTACTATAAGCACATTCCTATTCAAATTAAATAGTAATTAACAATAAAAGTTTATTTATGTCTTACGTGCTCAAGTAGTTTTAAACAAAAACGTTTCTTTTTACCTTATTCTACGGTATAATTTGGTATGGTCCAATAAAAAGCGAATAAACTTGTCATCTAAGTGAAGTTCTCTGGGAGTCTGATCTTTTTTTGATTCTTTTTGCACAATGAACATTAATAATTCTCTGAAGTTATTAATGATACTTGGGGTGATTTTCATTAATGAAACGTTACACTCTAAAAAAGTACTGTAAAACATATAACCGGGCAATTGATCTACACTAGCCAATCAGATGAGTTTCTTCCTTTGACGGTATAGGGGTGTAAAATACCCTATTTTAAAATCTGTACCATACTGATCCGGTACTGTATATTATTAAGGTTAACGTAATGGTATGGTATTGTTTTTAAAATAGGTATTTTACAACTTCATATCATACAGTTCAGGTTACACATCGCATACTGACAGACCTTTAATAGTTTTTATTTTCCTTAGTATAACATTTTTTCAATCCGAATATATGACGTAAAACTATTATGAGAGTTTGATTTCATTATTTCAAATGATCATGCGTCAGCTGTTAATTTTTAGACTTATTTAAACTAATAATGAAGTATTTTAACCATTTTAACCATCAATTTATTGACGCACTATTCTATTTATATTTTAAAAATATCACGATGTTAAAAATTATAAATGATGTCAACTTGTCTAAAAATTAATATAGAGAATTTATAGAAATTAACAGGCCTACCGAAAATTAAATTGCAATTAAATTATTACTCAATTAAATTTAATTGACATTGTTACAAACAACAATTACAAAACAATTAATTTTTTAAAAAAACAATTGCAAAACAATTAATTGTGAAATAATTGCAATTAATTGCAATTTTTATAATAAAGTATCGAAAAAGGTATTGTATTAAAATTTATATTAAAATTAAAATAAATATATACATGTAGAGCCTATTGTTTAATTTGTTGTTGAATACCCCGAATGATCTTATTTTACTATTTACTCTTAGCAATAGAAAATTTTTTTTCTAATGTATATGGGTCAGGAGACTTTCTCCAGTTCGTGTAGTAATACTTTACACAAAACTTTTGCACTCATTGTAATTTAAAATAATACTATTATGTTTTTTTTTAAAAAAAAAACACTATTGCTCAATTTTTTATATGCTTTTTTTTTTCTTAATTGTATAAGCTTTTTTTTTTATTTATTTAATCATAAAAGCTTTTTTTATTTATCTAATTATAAAAGCTTTTTTTATTTATCTAATCGTAGAAGCTTTTTTTTTATTTATCTAATCATATAAAGCTTTTTTTTTTCTTTATTAAAAATTATATATAATAACCTTTTTTTGCCTGTAATTTTGACATCAAGATCAGCAAGTTATCATATTTACAAACTGCAGTATATAGAGAATTGGCTGTATAATACAAAAATTGCAATTAATTATTTAATTGTAGCTGCACCACCAATTAATTAAGATTAAATAATTGCAATTAATTGCCTTCACATTTAATTATTCAGTAGGCCTGATTTGTAGTAGATATAAGTTTTCCAATAATAGATGCAGCTTTTTTTAATATAGATTGACATTCCCGTATTGTATTTTTGATTTTGTAACAAGGAAGGAAAATTGTCATATTTTTTGAATCTATATGAAAACCAAGATATTCTAGAGCTTTTGTTAGAACTAACAATAATTTTTCATTGTTGATTATAAAACCTAATAACTCAGATAATTTAAAATAAGATTTCGATATATTATAGCTTCCTTTTCTGAATTTGCAATGATTAAAAAATCATCTAAATATGCTATAATTCGAATACCTTAAGATTTTAGATATTTTATAAGAGGTTTTAGGACTTTTGAAAAAACTCTTGGACTGGATGATAAGCTGAAAGGTAGAGAGGAAAAAGCATAATGGTTTCTATTGTAATCAAAGGTGAGGTAAGGTTGATCTGACTTTGCAATTAGAATATTTAAGAATGCATTCTTGATATCTATGGATATTATATAATTGTTGGGTCGAAGTAGTAATTTTACTACTTTGATATTTTCTATTTTGAAATGCTAATACAGGATATAATGGTTGAGAAATCTTAAGTCTATAACCAAATGGGATGTGCCATTCTTTTTGGAAACCAAAAAGATCTTTAATAAAAAACATGGTATTGTAGATGAGATTAGTTTTATTGCTCCTAATATTAAAAATTCTTCGATCTTTAATAAGATTTCGAGATTGAAAATATAGTGAGACATAGGTTGAATAGTTAATGGTGGTGGTAAATTTCATTGTATAGAATAGCCGTTGTTTATAACTTTTGTAGCCCAAGAATCTTTGAATAAAGTTACCCAATATTGTAAGTTGTGTTAGGTTTTGAGAAATGACTGAAGGTATAAAGAGGTTGGAACTATTTCCAATTTTGTTCCTGTTTGATATTTGGTTTTTGAAATATATGATTTGTGTATCTTTGGCTCCTTCCAAAAAAAGAGCATGTATTACCAGGTCTTTGAGTACCGAAACATGAATTATATTGACCTCTTCTATATGATAAAGATGATTCAGAAAATCTAAATTGTCTTTTATATTATAAAGCCTTGTTAACCAATTTGTTCTTTTCATTTTCTTGAATAATGAGTTTATTAAATTTTGTAAGCCCACAAACCTCTTCATGTTCTGCAGGAGAATTATATGATGGGGATATATATTTAATAGCTTGATCCCTACAAATATTATTTGCATATAAAAGACTATCCAATAAAAGACTTCTTGTGTTCATAAGTGATTGTTCTATTGCTTTTCAAGATTTGAGTGCTTCTTTATCATCTTGGTTTAGTTTGGAATCATAAAGTAAACATAAAGTATTATCAAGAGGATGAAGAGTTACAGACCATCTATATGCAAGTTTTGAAAGTAATTTGTCTGTCTCTCTTGTTTGCTTTGACATGTTTTTCCAAAGTGGTTTGTCTATGGAAAGAGATTGGAAACATATGTTTTTATTGTGGGGTTGTACTTGTAAAATGAGTTTATATTCCTCTTGTGAAAGAGTATTGTCTTTATGGATACGTGTGGGAAACCATAACATTTCTTCTGATAGTTTCCAAGTATAACCTTGTTGCTCATGACCTTTGTCATGGATTTCTTTGATAGGAGAAACAGTATCTTGAACTTCATTTTGAGGATTTGGTTCTTCTGTATCGCTCATGAGAAGTTTTTTTAAGCAAGTCCAAGAAAAAAACAGTCTATAGATTATGTTAGTATCAATAGCTTATTTATATGATAAAAATGATGTAACACAAAATTAGCTCTGATAAACTTGGGTTAGCGTCAATAAAAGTAGTCAATAGCACATAATTAGAATCGTACCTTCGAGTGAAGTTCATTTATCATTATTATTATTTAATTTATCATATGTATATAGGTACTGCGTGGTTTCGGAGTTAAAACCCCAATGATGCTTTTTTCTTAATGCCGCTCAAAATATACTTTACACAATACATACATACATAATTTACATTACATCATTTCGATAATTAATTAGTACATTCCTACATACATATTTTATAAATTATATGGGTCAGTCTGTACCAGAGCACAAAATTTCCAGGTGATGCAACCTGCTTTTTTTGCTTTTTTGCCGGCAATATTATTTTTAATCGGAGCTTCAGCTATAAGCGCCAATGAAATTTGTCTAAGTAACGTAAATTTTCCGGCCAATGAAAAGTCAAGCCGGAAATTGTCTTACGTAGATGGAAATCTCCGAAATTTTACAATAGATTTTGTGCTCTGGTCTGTACCGTTATGAGGCTTCGGGCACAATTTCTTAAATTGAGAAATCGATGTTTAATCAGTTTGATATAATTTTTGGTGCTAAGTCTAAGATTAGAAACTTACATATTTAAAATATTGTTAACTTTAAATATATGAAAGGGTTAATTTGATTAGCCAATTAATGTAGATTACCCCTTGCTTTAATATGCAAAAATTTATATTTAGAATCAAAGAACGATATAAGCAAAAAAGACTTTGAACTAGAATTATACCGAATTATCTCAACAAAAATTACTGCTACAGATAGAGCGTCTACTCAAGAATATAATCCAAGATTTGATCAAAAAGTCCCAAAGCCTCATAACGACCCATATATTACACATTTGCTATATAATCTAAAAATTGTAATATATAATAAAAAATTGTAATAAAAATTTGTAATTTATACGTCGTCATGCGATTATAGTTATAGTTACTACGTATATACAAATTTTAATATTTTTAACTATATTCGGTATATATCATATGGCAAACCCTAATTTGCAAACTGTAATATTCGTTCAATGGCATTCTTTTTAGATCACAAAAAAATGTATGCGTAGCTAGGTTAATGCATAGCATTGTGTATATTGTGTATCCGGAATAGTGATGACGCACAAAGTAGTTAGATGTAAAGAACTTAATTTTCCAAACCCCCAGATTTAGTAAACTCTATTCCAATTATAATTTGTATAAGGATTCAGAATTAACGTTATATAGTAGTATTCGGGAAATTTCGTGTTTACGTAGTCAGATGATCGGACTTAAAATTCAATAATTGTTCTTTTAATTTCCATCTCGCGATTTTTATTAGACATGGTTTTCGTAAACGGTGTAAAATATGCTTGGTAAGGATTCACGAAAATTTAAAATTTATTAGTTGAAAGCTCGTCTTGTCAACTTTGTCAAAACTATTTAACCATCAAGATATAAACTTTCGTTTACTAAGGGTCTATATATATATATATATATTTATTTATTTATTTATTTATTCTCTTTACTAGTGCTACTTGTATTAAAGGCCATCGGTCTTCATCTTGTAACCACCAAGATCGCCAACTTATTGAAATCAAACGAAAAGGTCGACCGATAACTCAATGTGATCATTGTCGTGAGCTTCGTAAAACTCATAAAATTCATGTTAAATGTAATTGCAAGGAAAGAGCAAGTGAAGGTAAAATCATTTAAAGTTTATGATTTTGTAGTCTACGTTATAATCCGATATTAATCTTGTCTTTTCTTCAATTAATAATTCAAGAGAGCGCATCTACATCTCTGAATGATACATCTCCCTTTTCAAATACAGGTAATGTATGTAAGAAATATCAAGGATTGTTATATTTTACTGTGAGTAATCCCTTTTTTTTTTCTTTTTTTTTTTTAGTTGATGAACTTTTGAACCCTTGTCAGTGCACCACAGGTGCTAAGTGTGTTTGTTACGATCCAGTTGATGATAGTTCTTTGTTAATTGAAAATAATTGCAGTACGGCACATGATGATTCGGCTACGAATCCTTTGTTGAAAATACTATCAAACAATCAACCTGTTGTTCCAAAAAAACCTGAAAATTGTAATCAACCTGTTGGTTCAAAAAACCCTGAAAATTGTAATCAACCTAGTGTTCCGCTAGTGTCTGGTTATCATAATTCATCTGCTTTTACTACAAGTTCTTTCCAAAGTTGTCCTTCTGCCATGGCAAGCGGTAGTTGTTGTGGCACTTCAACCACTGAATCTGTATGCAGATGTGGTACTGGATGTAATTGTGAAGGTTGTGGAATTCATTCGCTAACGATAACTCCGTTGCGACCTGTAAAAAATTGTTGTTCTAATGATTCCCAAGTAATTGGCCAATATGAAAATGAAGCTGATGATGGCGAAAGTTTGATGAAAAGAGATGTAACTTCAGGTAATTTGATAATTAAAAAATTCTTATCATTCTTAATTATCCGGAGCGATATAAAAAAATTACATTTCCGTTTTGATGCATATATAATATGATTATCAAATCCTGACTTTGAATTTTCTGTCTCTGGACCTATATAATGATTTCGTTTTCTAATTTTGTTTATACATAAAATTTTCTTTTAGTCGAAGCATTATTGAACCCATGCAAATGTTTGTCAGGTTCTGATTGTATTTGCTGCCGTCCAATAGAGTATGATTCTGATTTCTTAACTACGAACTCTACGTCTTACGGAAATACTAGTTTTACAGGATATGCGACTACAATGTTAGAATGCAGATGTGGGGCTGGATGTCAATGCAGTGGATGTGAAAAGAGTTGTTGAAATTTTGTTTACGTTCATATCTATATTATATTTGTATATATATTTCCATCCAATAAAGATGCCATCTTTCTTTTTAATATTCAATTATTTTTAGGTAACTTAATTAACTTAGTAATAGCACAAAAATTTGGCAGTACTCTGATCTCGTGCCAAATCGGACCGGTAGCTATCCATCTAATAATATATATGGGGTCTTTGCCTTGAAAATAGGGTTCCGAGGTCCCCAAACCAAAATTGAGATTTTTGCTAAATCTTAATTTA